AAAGTGGAGAAGGAAAATCTGTACAGGAGAGAAAAAAGGAATTTAGCAACCACAGGTTAGATTTAATGACTGCCTTCAACAGATGTGCTGTGTTCTATGTTTAGCTAAGTATTGATAGTTAAATTGTGAATTTAACAACCTTGATTGGGAGTGTGGGCTTCTCTATAATAGTATTATATGCAATTAAACTTTTGCATATATGTTAGTTCATAATGGAAACCAGCCCATTTACTGATAGGCTTTTTGAGAACTATTTGTTCTGATATTTCTGAGACTAATTTAGAGCCATTCTAAACTATCTGAAACATCAAAACACTTTGAAAGGAGGCTATTGGTAATATAAATATCAAGTTACTACTTTTTACTAACAAAGATAAATGGGGGAAAAAGAATCCATTAGTAGATAGTTGTAAAAGCTTAATTCTTTTAGAACTTTGAAAGGCAAAGCTGATGCCCCCATTTTCAAAAAGAGGTAAAAAGTTGATCTCAGGTAGCTAATATATTGAGGTTTACTGTATGCTAAGTACCTTGTGCAAATTACACTTCATCCTTCCAAGAACCCTGTGAAATAGGTCACTGTTCTTATTTTACAGCTGAGGAAACTAAGGCTCAGAGGGGAAACAATGTGTCCAAAGGTACACAGGTGAAACCTGGTTTTAATATACTTCCATTGATTTCAGAGAGGAAGGGAGAAAGAGAGATGGGAACATCAATGATGAGAGAGAATCATTGATCAGCTGCCTCTTGCACGCCCCGAATTGGGGATCAAGCCTGGACCCCGGGCATGTGCCCTTCAGTCCGCAGGTCAGTGCTCTATCCACAGAGCCAAACCAGCTAGTGCAGTGGTTCTCAACCTTCCTAATGCCACGACCCTTTAATACAGTTCCTCATGTTGTGGTGACCCCCAACCATAAAATTATTTTCGTTGCTACTTCATAACTGTAATTTTGCTACTGTTATGAATCATAATGTAAATATCTCATATGCAGGATGTATTTTCATTGTTACAAATTGAACATAATTAAAGCATAGTGATTAATCACAAAAACAATATGTAATTATATATGTGTTTTCCGATGGTCTTAGGCGACCCCTGTGAAAGGGTCGTTCGACCCCCAAAGGGGTCTCGACCCGCAGGTTGAGAACCGCTGAGTTAGTGGAACCTGGTTTTAAACCTGTGTCTGATTCCAAAGCTAGCTTGTTCTCATTACAAAGCCTGTCGATGACCTTTACAATATTATAGGACACATTTTTGTGTGTATTTGGGTTTGGGAAGAGGCGCTCCTGAGTCACCAGCATGGACTCACTAAAACCAAGTCCTGCACTTTCCTATTACAGTAGCAGACCAACCCTCCTCCATAGAACAATTAGAAAAGCAGGATGAATACAAAAAAACATCTGCTTGAAGTCACTGGAAAGTACCAAGATAGCCAAGATTTAAGAGGCTGAGGTTCCAGAGAAGAAAGTACAAAATGTGAGACTGACATTCCGAGCTGCTTTCTCCTTGATGCATTTACCAATTTATAAGAGGCACAGGCTGAGAGGCAGAAAAACAGAACAGAAATTGGCTGGTAGAAGGTTAAGGAATTATTGGCGATCTTATGGTGCTCAGGAATATGAATTTGAGTGCATGGCTAACCAAGGTGGCAGGGCTCTGGTAGAGGACTTGGCTTTCATTTGGGCCCTCTGAAGGACTATTCTCAAGGAAGAAGGGTAGATATTATTATAGACTAGTTTTGTAAAGACTGAATCCAGCTTCTAATTTGCTAAACCCCTGATTAGATTAATGTGATATAATTCTCTTCTAATTGCTTGCCAGAACTTAAAGAAATCCTTTCTGGCCTGACTGGTGTGGTTCAGTGGTTGAGTGTCAACCATGCACCACAGGTTACTGGTTAGATTCCCTAGTCAAGAAACATGCCCGAGTTGACCCCTCAGTAGGGGCCTGCAGGAGGCAGCCGACTGATGTTCTCTCTCCCATTGGCATTTCTATCTCTTCCTCTCCCTTCCTTTCTCTCTAAAAAAAAAAAAAAACCCACCAAAAAACACACACAAAATAACAAAAACCTTTCTGAAGGAAAATAGCCTCATTTAGAATCTCTGCAATTTTTCATACACAAATGTTCATCATTCAGTCCAAAATTACTAAGCATAATAAGTGGCAGGGAAAAAAAGCAATAAAAACATTCACAGGTGATCTAGATATTGAGTTATCAAATTTGGATTTTAAAATACATAACTGCAACCAATAATTAATATGTTCAAAAAAGAGATGCCAAGACAGAGAATTTTACCAGGGAACTGTAATATGTAAGAATGAATCAAATGGAAATTCTAGAACTGGAAAACAGAATAACAAATTAAGACTTCAATAGGTGAGTTTAATAGCAGGTTATACAAAGGTAAAGAAAGGATTAGTGATCTGGAATATAGGTCTGTAGAAAATATTCAGATTGGAACTTGGAGAGAAAAGGATAAAAAAAAAAACAGAGAAAAAAAAGAGCTTTATGAGACACAGCAAAAAAAGGTTTAACATATATACAAATGGAGTTCCAGCATGGGAAAAGAGACAGAATGAGGCAGAAACACTATTTAAAGGGGTGGCTGAACATTTTTTTCAATGTTTTTGAGAGATTTTAATCCCAAAGCCCTATAAACACAAGCAGGATAAATTAAAAGGAAAGCATACATCATAAAAACTGCCCCAAACCAAAGATATTAAAAGTAGCCAAAGAATAGTAAAATGGAAACTAACTTTTCACCAACAAAAGTGGTGGAATTCAAAAGACAATGGAGAGTTAGAATTATCTGCCAACATAGAATTCTGTATTAAGTGAAAATATCTCTCAGAAATGAAGGCAAAATAAAGGGACTTTCAAGCAAATGAAAACTGATAAGGCTCTGGCCGAGTAGCTGAGTTGGTTAAAGAGCATCGTCCCAAAAAATCAAGATTGCGGGTTAGATCCTGATTAGGGCACATACAAGAATCAACCTATGAATGCATAAATAAGTGAAACAACAAATCAGTGTTTCTCTCTCTAAAAAAAAAAAAATTTAAAGATAGAATTTGTTGCCAACAGACTGTTGCATTAAAATAATACAAAAGAGCGAAAATGCACGTGGCTCACCAAGTCTGTAAGTTCTGAGCTGCAGTCCTTCCTTTTTCCTGAATAAATCCTTTCTGGTGATGGAAAAAATAAATAAATAAATAAAATAATAATAATAATACAAAAGAGCAGAAGGATTATGTCCTTTACAGCATCATGAAATATAGGAAGGAGTAAATAACAATGAAAATGGTAAAAATGTGGGCAAATCTACATAAATATATACTGTATAAAATAATGTCTTGTGGGTTTTATATATAGAATTAAAGTTGTAACAACAGTAATACAAAAGACTGGGAGGAGCTATATGGAGTTAAAGTGTTCAGAGGTCCTTATATTGTCTAGGACAGGGGTGGGCAAACTTTTTGACTCGAGGGCCACAATGGGTTCTTAAACTGGACCGGAGGGCCGGAACAAAAGTGTGGATGGAGTGTTTGTGTGAACTAATATAAATTCAAAGTAAACATCATTACATAAAAGGGTACGGTCTTTTTTTTTTTTAGTTTTATTCATTTCAAACGGGCCGGATCCAGCCCCCGGGCCGTAGTTTGCCCACGGCTGGTCTAGGAAGTAGGAAAGGTAATAATTTATATTATATTCTAATTAAAACCAATGATTTACATCATAATGTGAAGGTTTACCATTGAAAGAATAGTAGCTAAATATACAGGGTGGGGCAAAAGTAGGTTTACAGTTGTTTGTATGGAAAATAATAATAAATAATAATACAAGAATAAACTCTTACCCTGGCTGGTTTGGCTCAGAGGTTAGAGTGTCTACCCTTGGACTGAAGGGTCACTGGTTTGAGTCCCAGTTAAGAGCACGTACCTCGGGCCCTAACCGGTTTGGCTCAGTGGATTAGAGTGTCAGCCTGCGGACTGAAGGGTCCCAGGTTCGATTCCGGTCAAGGGCATGTACCTTGGTTGTGGGCACATCCCCAGTAGGGTGTGCAGGAGGCAGCTGATCGATGTTTCTAACTCTCTACCCCTCTCCCTTCCTCTCTGTAAAAAATCAATAAAATATATTAAAAAAAAAAAAAAAAAGAGCACGTACCTCGGTTGCAGGTTCCCCAGCCCCGGTAAGAGTGGTTGGAGGAGGCAACCAATTGATGTGTCTCTTTTACATCTATGTTTCTCTCTCTCTCCCCCTCCTCCCTCCCTTCCACTCTCTCTAGAAATCAGTGGGAAAAATATCATGTCCTTGGGTGAGGATAAAAAAAAGAATAAACTGTTTCACATATTCACAACTGTAAACCTACCTTTGCCCACCCTGTATAACCAACAAGCTAATAGAGAGGAAAATGGAATAATAAAAATATGCAGAAGCAAGCAAGAAAGGAGAGACAGTAGCATAGAGGAAATGGGACAAATGGAAAATAGTAAGATTAAAACAAAAGTAAATCAATAATTAGATTAACTGTATATAGACTAAAAATTTAACTAAAAGGTAATCATTGTCAGATAATGTTAAAGAAAAATAATTATATGCTGTTTCTAAGAAATACATCTTGCATACAAGGACACAAAATTGAAAGTAAAAATATGGAAAAAGATATATCATGTAAACATTAACCCAAAGAAGCTATTATATAAGTCTTAGAACTAAAGTTCACCTTATACCTGTAGTGTGTTAACACTTCTTAAACAGATATTTATTGTGTTGGATTTTGTTTATTCTCTTTATTCAATTCAGCAGATATTCCTAGTGGCACAAAATTATCTAGTGATACAAAATTATTCTCCCTCATATGTACACTGGCCAGCTAGCATAGAACAGTATTCTAGGAAAGAAAGACATTGTTACTGACAGGATAGCTTCTAACCCCACCCCCTTCTATGGAAACTGATAATAGTAAGACTTATGTTAATTTGCTTGTTTGTTTTTCTCCTGCAGACTCCATTAATAATATACCTCTTTCATTTCCTGATTGATTATGCTGAATTGGTATTTATGGTAAGTAACCTTCCACACAAAATGAATATGTATATATTTTAAATTTTATTGTCTTTAATTTTTTTGTTTATAAGAAAAAATCTTTCAGGAGCCCAGGAGTTTCTTAGAATATAAAAGCAAAAATGTATTTTTAATTTGGATTCATGGAACTGTAATTGTACATTTGACCCTTGAACAATGGGAGGTTAAGGGTGCCAACCCCCCACACAGTTGTCTCTCAGTATCCAGGGGCATTGGTTCCAGGACAACCTCTCCGCCCTTTCCCCACCACCCCATGGATATAAAAAAATGTCCTTGGGTGCCCAAGTCCCCTATATAAAAGGATGTAGATCAATGCATATAGTTGGCCTTATGCATCTGTGGACTTCCAACCCTGGATGGAAAACAGTACAAATATTTACTGAAAAATATCAGCGTATAAGTTGACCTATGCAGTTCAAACCCAGGATGTTCAAGGTCAACTGTATTATGGAAGTATGAAGAGTAGTTTATGACGTCTGACCAGTTCTAATTTCTTATACGTTTAAAATTTCATATGTGAACTATGTAGCCTTGAATTTTCTAGCTCCAAGATTCTATGATTGGCTTTCATTATGGTGCCAGTGTTGAAGATATCCTCAATTTCCTAAGCATTCTGCCAAGAGATTCTGTGACAAGGACTTAGGCCTGGTGAGACTTTCAGGGGTAAGAAATTGAGAAGACAGGGCTATGTTTTGAGAGCATAGTAATTTGAAACACCTGCTTAATCTAGGGTTGAAAATCTGGGTAAAATAGGAGGTCCATTGAGCTCTTCCTTAATAATTATAATGAGTGCTGTTTATTGAGGACTTACTCTGTTCTAGGCACTTGACATACATCAGGCCTACAAAGCAGTGGGTTTTATTTCCACTTTACAGAAAACTTAGTAACTTGCAATTACAGAGCAAGTTTTCCAGTCATACCTCCCTGAAAAGGCTTTCTCTTTGGGTAGTCAAAGTGAGGGCTGAGGTTCTGCCTGACTTTAAGAAGTCAGTACTGGATAGTCCACCGCCTTCCAGAAACTTCAGACCCTAGTAGCATTCCATTACTCCCACACTAATTGGGTTCATTTCCTGTTATTACTCTTTCTCTTGACAGATAACTGATGCACTCACTGCCATTGCCCTGTATTTTGCAATCCAGGACTTCAATAAAGTTGTGGTGAGTAGACAGTGTGTTGGACAAAACTAGTAGAATCTGGTAACCTGCTGGTATCTGTTATTAAAAAGATCAAAGGTCAGCATGTACTTAAGGATCCAACATGTTTTAAGACACTAAGAAGTGGGAGTGCAGCTTCTGGCTTGTTCAGCCAGTCCTGGAACAGCCGAACAAGACAGCTTTACTAATAGATACAGAAAGGTTCGCTTAATCTTTGTAGCTTAATATCCTCTCACCTGTGCCAGTTCAGACTTTTTGGAGGATGTGGAATTGAACTACAGTTATATTAATGAGGACCCTTAAAAAATTATTCCATACCTTTCACCAGTTTTTGTTTTTTGTTTGTTTTTTTTTTACAGAGGGAAATTATAGCTTTTAACTCACTGTGTTATGCCTATCTGAGGTAAAATTGGATTCCCAGTGTAGCTTCTATTTCCCTGCAGAGAGCAATCTTAATTGGAAAAATTGGCATGTATTAAACAGCTGTTGAAAGTGTTGATGCAAACTTTAGTTTTAATCCATATGTAATAGCCAAGGAGAATTGTATAGTGGGACTATTTTCATTTTCCTTGGTTCTGAGAGAGTTAACAAATTAACCATGTGTACTATCTATGTAGTTATTTTAAAAGTTGGCTGCAGTCCTCCTTGATTGGCTGAGAGCCACTGAGAAGATTTAGACCAGGGTGAGAGAAGGCTGCATCCCATTAGTGTTGTCTGTTTGTGGTTCATTTTCACTTCTGTTACCAAGTAATAGAACCAGAAATAGCAGTCTGCCTTTCTGTAGCACTGGTCATCAGTAACAAATAAAGCTAGTGAATTCTAGAATTTTGGACCTCAAAGACGCTGTTAAAATATCTAGACTGAGAGTTTTTTACTTGGGGTCCCTTATTAGGTCTATAAAACCCTTGAGATGGTATGAAAATTTGTATATGTATGTGCATATGTCATTCTTTTTCATGTGGAGAGTCCATAGTTGTTAACAGTGCTCAAAGAGTCCTTAATTCCTTCCCTAAATGATTAAGAACTACATTTTAGAGACTTAGTAACACTAAGAGCAGGGAGTATATATCTTAAACTAATGGAGCATGTGACTATGTGGATGCTAAGTGAAATAAGTCAGAGAAAAAAAGGGCAAATACTGTATGATTTCACTTATATGTGGAATTTTAAAAGTCAGACTCATAGAAACAGAGTAGATTGGTGGTTATTGGGGATTGGGGGTGGGGGGAGGGGATTATTGGTCACAGGGTACAAACTTTTAGTTATAAAATAAGTAACTTCTAGGGAATTGAATATACCTATAGCATAGAGACAGTAGTTAACAATGTTGTATACTTGAAAGTTGCTAAGAGAGTAGATCTTAAATGCTCTCACTACAAAAAAACCCCCACATAATTATGTGAGGTGATAGATGTGTAACTAACCTTATTGTGGTCATCATTTTGCAATATATAAAGCTGGGCAAAAGTAGGTTTACAGTTCATATGGAAAATAATACATAATCTATACTAATAAAAATGGATTGGGCCCTAACCCAGAAGTGGAGCTCCCCCGAGGGTAACCAGATGGGAGAGGGTGCAGCTTGGGCTGGGGGCAACCCCCCCCCCCCCCCCCCCGCACAAATTTCGTGCACCGGGCCACTAGTTAATAAATAATAACAAGAATAAATTTTCATGTACTCACAACTATAAACCTACTTTTGCCCACCCTATATATGTATATCAAATTATTGTGTTGCATATCTTAAACTTACACAATGTTATATGTCAATTATATTTCAAGAAAGCTGGGGGGGAAATTTTATGGGTGAGATGAAATGCTTTAACAAGATTCCCTGGAAGGTCAGAGATGATACTAGTAAACTGAGCATGAGATTCATAAGCAGAGGAATTCAGAGACAAATTAAGAATGATTGTTTTCTTCTCCGAGATAAATTGTGTATGTAAACCATAGTCTTTGTTCTTTGAAGTTATATGCTAAAATATTAGGGGTGAAGGGTCATGATATCCACAACATACTTTCAAACGGTTCAGAAAAAAATTTATGTTTTTGTGTGTTTAGCGAGATTTTAAAAATGTGGCAGAATGTTAACAGTTGCCCAGCCAGAGTGGCTCAGTTGGTTGAGTGTTGACCTGTGCTCTGAAAGGTTGCCAGTTCAATTCCTGGTCAGGGCACTTGTGGAAAGCAACCAATCGATGTTTTTCTCTCTCTCTCTCTCTCTCTCTCTCTCTCTCTCTCTCTCTCTCCCCCCCGCCCCCGCTTCCTCTCTCTATGCATGTCCTTAAGTGAAGATATTTTTTAAAAATGTTAACAGTTGATGGATCTAGGTGTTTCATTGAATTTTTTTTCAACTTTTCTGTAGTTTGAAATTTTTCAAGGTAATAGACTAGAGAAAAAAAAATAGGTCCATGTCTTTACCTACCAATGTGTGTATACATGTGTGTGTGTGAATCGAACCATGACCTCCTGGTTCATAGGTTGATGCTCAACCACTGAGCTACATGGGCTGGGCGAGTTTACTGGTTTATGTGACAGAAAAGTCAAGGAGAATATTGTTGGCTTCATGCACCAATAATTTATTTCTGAATTTATATGAAAACATATAGAGGTTTTTGAATTTTTTCTCTGTGTGATTTAAAGAGGGAGACCAAAAACCAAATGAGCTAATTGTCACTACCTTGTTTTTTAGCACACCAAGACATTCTGTTATCATTGGCACCGAATTAAATTTTGGAATAGTTTTGTTTCTTCATCCTCAGAATTCAGCCTATAGGAATATTTTGTTTTGTGGTCAGAATAAGAATTTCATTTAAACTGTGTCAAAAATTGCCCGAGCCAGTTTGGCTCATTGGGTAGAGCATCAGCCTGCGGACTGAAGGGTCCCGGGTTCGATTCCAGTCTAGGGCATATGCCCGGGTTGCAGGCTCATTCCCCAGTAGGGGGTATGCAACAGGCAGCCGATCAATGATTCTCTCTCATCATTGATGTTTCTATCTCTCTCTTCCCTCCCTTCCTCTCTGAAATTAATAAAAATATATTAAAAAATAAACTATCAAAAATTAACTCATTCTTGCCCTAACCGGTTTGGCTCAGTGGATAGAGCGACGGCCTGTGGACTGAAGGGTCCCAGGTTCGATTCCGGTCAAGGGCATGTACCTTGGTTGCGCACACATCCCCAGTGGGGGGTGTGCAGGAGGCAGCTAATCGATGTTTCTCTCTCATCGATGTTTCTAACTCTCTATTCCTCTCCCTTCCTCTCTGTAAAATATCAATAAAATATAAAAAAAATTAACTCATTCTAAATGGCAGATTTTGATGATACTAATAAACTGTGGTTGGTTTGGATAGAGTATTGCCACATGTCTTCCTCCAAATCTTCCCCACTTTTTCAGAATGGGCCCATATCATACAGTCTGGAAGCAGTTTAGTCTTGCTGGGATTTGAGACTTTTTTTTATTCCTGGTAATGGAGCTGTGTCTATAATCAAACTGAATCCCAGAAAATTGTGATGCAGAGAGGGGGAACTCTATCCCCACCCCATCTCCAACTGTTAGCCTGTAGAGTATGAATGCTGATTGATTATGACCAGTTGATTCTCATGGCATTTTACATCTACCTTACTTGACAAAAATAATGCTAGTCTAGTTGTCCTTTGCTGAGATGTGCTTCCTGTTTAAAACTAAGAATTCATGTGAGAAAGCTGCAGGTGATTTGGTAGAGAGTGATAAAAATCTGTATCCCCTTAATGTGCTTAGTGAGTTGTGAATTTGGAGGGTAGGCTCCTGAATTTGGAATGTGCTGAGGCTAACAGTTGGAGATGCAGTGGGGGTGGAGTATTCACCTCCCATCCCTCCATAGGTTTTGGGGGTGCAAAATGGTGTAGTCACAGCTTCAATGATTAGAAAACAGCTCTTTATTTGAAATAGGGGAATTATGTCCTTGCAAAATCAAATCTTGTGAGGGACAGGAAAGGGCTGCATGAGGGAGTGGGTAAGGAAAGGAAGGAAGGAATACTCCATCCTGGAGATTTTTTTTTTTTTTAAATTCTACTGAAATATAACACACATATGGAGGAGAGTGCAGGCATCTGTGTACAAGCTGATTAATGATCACAAAGGTGCCCTGGCTGGTGTGGCTCAGTTGGTTGGGCATTGTCCCTGGTCAGGGTACATGCCGGGGTTGTGAGCTCGATCCCTGGTAGGGGGTATGCAGGGGGCAGTGGATCAATGTTTCCCTTTCACATTATTGTTTTTCTCTCTCCCTCTCCTTCCTTTCTCTCTATAAAAATAAATAAACTATTCTTTTAAAAATACGATCACAAAGGTAACAGATCCAGGTAATTATCTTTTAGGTTACTTTTAACCTCTCCTGTGTAACTTGAAATCTCATCATTGTCAAGGTGCTGAATATATCTAAAAATACCTGCCTTTTAAATTGTACTTCTTAATATATTTTTATATTTCTTTTTTAAAATATATTTTTCTTGATTTCAGAGAGGAAGGGAGAGGGAGAGAGAGATAGAAACATCAATGATGAGAGAGAATCATTGATTGCCTCCTACATGCCCCCTTCTGGGGATCAAGCCTGCAACCTGGGCATGTGCCCTTGATTGGAATTGAGCCCAGGACCCTTTAGTCTGTAGGCCGACACTTTATCCACTGAGCCAAACCGGTTAAGGCTATTTTTATATTTCTAATATTTTCTTGGTGTGTGTGTGTTTAATTTTCCTTAGATTCTTAGCCACTTTCCTATCTCTAACTGGATGCAATGAGGATTTTAAAGAGAAATTTTGTCTATGTTTAGGGAAGCTGAGTCAATATTGAGCCGATAATGCATAATGGCAGCTGTGCTGGTGATACTGGGGAAGACAAAAGGAGAGGTAGCAAAGGATCTGGGGACTGCTGGCCTAACTGCCATTCTCTCCTGGAAACTCTCCTTTCATAAAATCTTTCTATTTTAAAGTATTTTGGAAGATTGGGATTATAAGGAAGTACTTTTCTTTCACTGTTGGCACAGTGTCACCTTTGCCCAGGGTCTACTCATGCCTGTTTAGCTGCCTTCATCTCTGAGTGTAGTCCTGCAGGTTAGCTTCCAGCCTGGGGAATGGGTCTGCATTCCCCCCTGTCTCTCTGGCTGCTCCTATATGAACTCCCTGTGTTTCCTTTTAACAGCCTTCTTTGTGGATCTCACACCATTCAGGCGGCCTTCTTTGTGCAATAGAACTCCAGAATCCTTAGCTAGTGGGGCCTCGGTCCTTCTACCACTGCTACTGCAGCTGTCCTCACTCAGTGCTCTCTGTTTGCTGAGCCAGCCACCTTTTCTTTGATAAAAGCACCTTAGTCTATATTTTGTCCTTTTTAAATTTTTTTTAAAATTTCTTTATTGGTTAAGGTATTACAAATGTGTCCTCATTTCCCATTAACCCCCAACCTCCCCGCCCCCACCCCCCCACTCATGCTCTCATCCCCCTGTTGTCCGTGTCCATTGGTTTGGCTTATATGCATGCATACAAGTCCTTTGGTTGATCTCTCCCCCTTACCCCCTCCCTCCCCTAGTTTCCCTTTTGTCCTTTTAATTAGACAACCCCAACTGTGCATGACAGCATAAATTTTACTGATGATAATTCCTACCACTTAACTTGGACTCTCAGCGATGATCAAAGGGAGGTTTTTGAATTTTGAAGTTTGTTCAGGTTTTCTGATTATGCCTCTAGCTTAAATTATACAAGAAATCCGGGGTTACTTGTATTCCTGTGATGACCCTTTGATTTTCTTTTGAACTGAAAGATGACTCTTTTTTTATTTTTACTTAAAATTTTTAAATTATTAATACCTAAGATATGAAAAAATATATAAAGAATAATACGCTCAGCCAGCATGGCTCAGAGGTTGAACATCAACCTATGGCTTGATTCCCGGTAAGTGCATAGCCCGGGTTGTGGGCTGGATTCCCAGTGTGGGGCATGCAGGAGGCAGCTGATCAGTGATTCTCTATCATCACTGAAGTTTCTATCTCTCTCTCCTTCTCCCTTCTTCTCTGAAATCAATAAAATATATTTAAAAATGCATACTATGAATCTATTTTGACTTAAAAAATAAAACATTACACATAGAGTTGCCTCTCTCTATACTTTCATCTCCTTACGCCTCCTCTCACCAGTTACCACTGTTCGGACTTTAGTGTTTATTATTACTACACATGGCCTTATAAATATCCCTAAATCACATGTAGTATTATTTTGCATGCTTTTAACTTTATATAAATGGTACAATGCAGTATATATTCTGTTGTCACCTGTCGTTTTCATCATTAAATCTTTACTCACACAGTTAAATGCGAACTACTACGGCTGCTCTGAATTACTCTATTTTATAATAGGTTGCAGCATTGATTTTATACTGTCTAAATAAGATTCTCTGATCATTAAACGAGCAAGGCTACCCATTTTGGGTTCAAAGACTTTTTCCACCTATAGTCTGACCCATGTTTACTTATAGGGTTGCCTAACTCTTTTTCATTCTGGAACACACCTGTGAACTTGTTGGGACATACCAGGGTAAGGCAAAAGCTCTCCACCCCCATCTCACTCCCTCTTACCTATCCAGCTGCCCAGCCACACCCAGCCCTCTTTCTCTTCATCCTGGCCATTCCCCACTTCCTCTGTGGAAGTCAAAAACTTGAAACAGGGGAGCTCAGAAGAAAACTCAGGATACTGTGACATTCAGGGAATCATTTCACTTTGCATGAAAACATTTCACTTTGCTGATGGGACTTTGGAGTCTTTAGGCCACTGATAATAACTCTTCAGAATGGCTAAGAGCTTTTGCCACCTAGTCATTCATATAGCCATTCAACAGGTATTTATCATTTGCTCACTGTATTGGCAATAAACACTGTCCCTACGCTGTGGAACTCAAATAGTCTAGTGAGGGAACCACATAATAGTCACCTAAATTTTTAAAAAAGTTATAACTGTGAACAGTGCTATGAAACAATGTACATAATGGGGAGATTTTACCTAATCGAGGTGGGGGGTGAGTGTGCCTTCCTGAGAAAGTGATTATTTTATTGAGATCTAAAGACTATGTGGGAGTTCACTAGGGTAAGAGAAGAGGTTGTTCCAGGTTAAATATAAAGGCCTGGGAGCAGGAGGGGCATGGTATGTTCATGATATTTGAACCCAGAAAGTGAGAGGTGAGAGAGTGGGAATGAGATGTGCCTGGAGAGGTGGGGCCACGTGGGTCATGGAAGGACTTTTGTTTTTATCCTAAAAGCAACGGAAAGTAATTTGTTTCATGTGTTTTGTCATTTTTTCCAGTTTAAAAAGCAGAAACTCCTCCTTGAACTAGACCAGTATGCCCCAGACGTGGCCGAACTCATCCGAACGCCAATGGAAATGCGTTACATCCCTCTGAAAGTGGCCCTGTTGTAAGTATTCTCTGACAAAACAGGCTCAGTGCCAACAAATGCGAGGAAAATCTGATGAGACTTTCTCATGTTGTTTGTTGTATTTTTAGAGATTTGCAGTCTTAGTCATCAAGTATTTGCTGTAGTTCTGTTGCACAACTGGGGTTCTGGCCAGCAAAAGAGACAGAGCCATTCTTTCTCTGTTGGGACAAAGCTTCATACAGGAACATGCACAATCCACCCTTCACAGATGCTTTTTCACTCGATCTGAGCTCTAGCCTACTTTTAACCACTGTTTGTTTCTTTAAAAAAAAGAAAAAAAGATCATTCTTCAGTTGTGATAATATGGATTGAATAAAATTCTGATCTTTATGTGGTTGTTGTTTTGAGCAGCTTCTATCCTTCATGTACAAGTTAGCCCTCCATTTGTAGTTCAGAAAACAAGTACAGTTCCAAACAGACCCATCCCGGATGCCTAAAATGGGTGGCCAGTATGGAGGCTCTGTGAAAGAATGCCCTAGGCGTGCTCAGTGCTGCCAGTAAGTTTAATTCTTTCAGGTTATTCCCGTTTATATTCCTGAGATAGGCAAATGTGAATAATCATTCAATCAACTAATAGTCATTGAATATTAATAATATACTAGTTTTAGGGATACACAGTAAGCAAGTCTGACAAGTTTCCTCATGGAAAAACATGACCTTAGAACTTTAGGATTAGAAGGAGCCTTATGAGGACAGTTTATTCAACCCTCTGCCTGTGTGTGAATCCCCTGTTCAGTCCAGATAGTTGGCTGTGTAGCTGCTTCTTAAACATCACCTTCTATTTAGAAATGGTTCCCCCCACCACCAGTTTTGAGGTATCGGTTCATATCTATGTATTTCAGAAATATTGCTGGGAACTATTTAATAGAACCAGAGGTTTAGAAACATTATGAATCCCTTATGGACTAATATGTCTCCTGAGGGTAGTTTTGTAATAGCAGCAGCCATTTCTTTAAAGGTTGTGTAATAAGCCTATCTGTAATTGCTGGGGAAAAAACACACCAACAATTTCTAGGCCTTTGTCTTTAGAACTGCTAGTGTTACAGCCCTGGGAGGTATTGGATTTAAGGTCTTTATTTGTAAATAATAATTATAATCTCCCTGAGACACTGGTATGTTTCTTCCTATCTGATAATCAGAATTATGTAACTCGTCTCCCTTTTCACACTGTCTGCCAGGAAACGCAGAGCCAGATCTGAAGCTGATTATTACAGTGCTGTAGGAGACAAGTTGGGTCTTCTTTCCCTGGCCTTTACTTTCTCCTTTTATTAATGTTTTCCCTGGTCTTGTTTCTTTATTTCTATTTTTATTTTACTGTTATTTTTTATTCTCGGTTCTTATTTGAGTCACCTTCTAATCTTTTGTGGAAGCAAGATAGAAATAAATAAAAATAATAATCCATTATGACTACATGAGCTTTCCTTACTCACCACATTTCAAATTCATTTTCTTAGTCCATTCCTTTTCATCTCAGGAAAAGACTAGATGTTTCAGCTCAATTCCATCCTAGAGGAAGTTCAGGTGTCCTGTGAAGTGCTCTGGCAACTAGCTTGTTGAAGTCAGCAGATAACTTATTTTGTCCTTGGGATCTGGCTGGTGGATACTGTTTTACTACCAAGAGGGCTAAATCTAAGCTGCTACCTTTTGAATGGGGGTAGCCTGTGTCACAGTGTAGGAACCTGACTGAGGAAAAAGTGCTTTTTTGGTTTTCAGAGATGCATGTAGCCATTCCTAAGATATATGATTGTGGGGAAGTTTGGTATAATTTTATCATTTTGAAATCTGAGGTAGTAGAAAGAATATAGGCCTTAGAGCTGGAGAGACCTAATTTGAATATATTCATTAGCTTGTGAACCTTGGGCAAGTTAATTAATCACTGAGTCTCAGCTTCCTCATCTGTGAAACAGGAATAATGTTATTGCTAGTTTATAGGATCTCTGTAATGATTAAATAAGACAGTTTTCTATAGACCACATAGCACAGAATAGGGAGTGAAAGTTCAGTACCTTTTACACATTGGCCTCAATCCCACTCCATTCTCTTTTACTTAGGAGAACTAATTTCTAAGAAGCTGCCTTCCCTTGAGTATGTTTTTAGTAAATCTCTTGAATTTTCTGGATATAGTGGCATAGACTCCCTGGTCCTTTGACCAGGATTACTAATACCAAATATGTGTGCTTTTCCCCAGCTATCTCTTAAATCCCTACACGATCTTATCTTGTGTTGCCAAGTCTACCTGTGCTATCAACAATACCCTCATTGCTTTCTTCATTTTGACCACGATAAAAGGTAAGACACCCAATAAGTACAAGCCCTGATTTGTGTAACACTTATACTGTGGACTTTTAAAAAATACAATGCAACATTTTAAAAAATTGTTTTTAAATTGCATAAGTATGAGTGGATAAAAAAGCTGTGGTACATTTACAATAGAATACTACTCAGCTGTAAAAAAAGAAGGAAATCTTACCTTTTGGGACACCATGGATGGACCTGGAGAGTATGCTAAGTGAAATAAGCCAGTCAGAGAAAGACAAATACCATATGATTTCACTTATATGTGTAATCTAAAGAACAAAATAAATTAACAAACAACCCATAGTTACTTAAAACAGACTGACAGCTGTCAGAGGGAAGGAGGGTTGGGGGACTTGGTGGAAAAGATGAAGGGATTAAGCAAAACAAAAACAGAAACAGACATTATGGTGATTGCTAGAGGGAAAGAGGGGTGGGGGGCGGTGGAAGAGGGCAAAAGGAGAATAAATGGTGGTGGAAAGAGACTTGACTTTGAATAGTGGGCGCACAATGCAGTATGCACATGATGTGTTACAGAATTGTACACTTGAAACCTGTATGATTTTATTAAGCAGAGTCACCCCAATAAATTCAATTAAGAAAAAGAACTACAAAAAAAAAAATTACAGCCCTAACCTGTTTGGCTCAGTGGATAGAGCGTCGGCCTGTGGACTAAAGGGTCCCAGGTTCGATTCCGGCCAAGGGCATGTACCTTGGTTGCGGGTACATCCCCAGTAGGGGGTGTGCAGGAGGCAGCTGAATTGATGTTTCTCTCTCATCGATGTTTCTAACTCTCTATCCCTCTCCCTTCCTCTCTGTAAAAAATCAATAAAAAATATATTAAAAAAAAAAATTACAGCCTGGCTGGTGTGGCTCAGTGGATGAGTGTCAACCTGTGAACTAGGAGGTCACAGTTTGATTCCTGGTCAGGGAACATGCCCAGGTTTTGGGCTCAATCCCCAGGTGGGACATGCAGGAGGCAGCCCATTGATGTTTTTCTCTCATCAGTGTTTCCATCTAAGCCAAAATAAAGATTTATTTAAATATCTTGAGCCCTGGCCTGGCTGTGGTGGCTCATTAGATTGAGCATCATCCCATGGACCAAAAGGTCCCGGGCTTGATCCCCAGTAGGGTGCATGCAGGAGGCAGCCAGTCAACGAGTCTCCCTCATCATTGATGTTTCTATCTCTCTCTCCCTCTCCCTTCCTCTCTGAAATCAATAAAAATATATTTAAAACAACAAAACAAAACATCTTGAGCCCTGGCCTATGTAGCTCAGTTGAGTGTTGTCATGTGCACCAAAAGGTTGCTGGTTCGATCGATGTTACACCCTCATATCGATGTTTTTCTCTCTCTCTTTAAAAATCAATAAACTATTCTTTGAAAATTTTCTCAAAATTCTATCATTCAGAGAGTTACTGTTAAGATTAGAAATTTTTTTTCTAAATGGCTTATAATGAGATAGCAGCCCTCTGCCCCTCTCTTCTCACCTGTAGTTCAACTTCTTCACAGCATTACTTCTGGCTTTTACTAGTATTTACTTCCATATTTCTAAATAAGACTTCATATTGCTATTTAATGAATTATAACTTTTAGACATCGATTCCATTCTCATGGAAGATAAAGATTTAGCTTTTTTGTACCAATATCTCCACTTCCCTTTACCTCATTTTATTCAAGGAGTTATGCCACAGTTTTGATTAAATCAGTAATTGGTACCTGTATTTTATGACACTATATATGTTATTACTGCTGGGCAAAATAGTAAGTAAGATTACTTTTTCTTTCTTATACAATCTTCTATGTTTCCTGTGGTCAATAATTCTCTTTTTTTTCCCCCTCCAGTTGCTTTGCTAGATCCGTTAAGTGCCTAAAAATAGTTTTAAAAAATTCTTAAAGACTTCAAATAGTCTATCGGTGCTATTATTTTTCTGGAGACCTCCCTCACGCATCCTCCATTTTGCCCCAAGCTGTCCTGGTTGTTGTCCAGGGCTGGTTCAAAACTGCTATTGTGGGACTTTTCTTTATAATTCTCCTGCATTGTATTCCTTATTTCCTGGATTTCTTCTCTCCTTTATTGATTTTTTTCTCTTTGTTTTGCTGAAGTAGTTTCTCAAGTAGTTTTCTAAGAAAGGGTGTATTAAATACATATCTTGAGTCATTTTATGTCTGAAAAATGTTTTTGCTCTAGTTCAACACCAAATTAATAGTTGGGGCAGAGTATATAGTTCTAGATTGGAAAAACTTTTCTTTCAGAATTTTGAAGGCATTGCTTTACTCTCCTCTAGCATCCTGGTTGTTATTGAGCAGTTGGATACCATTATATTTTTTTTCTGAAAGATTTAGGAACTTCTTTTTATCCTCAGTGTTTTGAAATTTCATGATGCTATGTCTTGACATGGGTCTTTCTTCATTCATTATACTGGGCAATTGGTAGGTCCTTTCAGTGTAGAGACTAGTGTCCTTTAGTTCCAGAAGGTGTTTCTATATTATTTTTTCAAATTCTCTCTGTTTTCTCTGTCCACTTATTTGTTCTATTAGATATTGGACTTTCTTGATTGATTTAATTTGCATATTTTATTTTCTATTGATAGTTCTAGCTCTTTTACTTCCCCTTTTTCTGGGATATTTCTTTGTTTTTATCTTCCAACTCCTCTATTGAATTTTTAAATTTTGTATTACATTTTTAAGTTTTCTCTTGGTCTCAATTATTTTTTGAAGTAGCCTTTTTTTTTTTTTTTTTTTTTTTTTTTTATCATCACAGTAGTCTTTCTTACCAGAGTTTTGGTTTTTTTTTTTTCCAGTTCTCATTTGTTCCAAGCATAGTCTTTTTGTCTTCCTGGTCATCCTTCCACCACTTTCTTTTCCTGTTTCTTTCGGACTCTGTCTTTCATATGGGAGAATTTTCTCTCATTTATGGTGATCCTTGGGTGTCTGTTTATGTTTATGAGTGAGGCACTAACAAGATGATTTGAGACTGCAGGGGCAGGACTTGTTAATGGATCATTCTCACTGTAGGGAGATTGGGTATTGGGCTGACTCTTTTGGTTGGAAGTACCCCTAATGTCATCATTTATAAGTTTTCTTTTTCTCTGAAACTATTTACTGTTTCCAGAGAGGAATTTTCCAATTTCCTGCCCAACAGTAACAGAGTTGGAGTTGCAGTGGGATGGGGGTGGGGGGTTCATGTGACCAACTATTGAAGTTGTGACAGTAGGAACAGAGGAGGTGGCAGATTACAATGTATGTAATCTCATTTCTCTTTAGCCCACACTTCTCCTCAGACCATTACTGTGCTTAGTACACCCTAAACTGTGCCTCTTCAGTTAATGTTCTCCAAAGCTGTAGTCTCTGGATGGAGTAGAAAGTTGGAAGTTAGACTGCACATAGTTGAGATGAGACCTGGGGTTCTGCCTGATCTGTATACAAACTTTCAGCTTGATTTTCATCTCTGTACCTTACCTCACCTTCCATAGTATCTGATACCTTCAAGGTGATGAATTTCTCAGAAGGTCTGTGAGATGAGTTGGCTTTATTTTTATTGGTATTCCTCTCTGAGATCCCTGAATTGTAATTTCTTTTTTTTTTTTTAATATATTTTATTGCTTTTTTACAGAGAGGAAGGGAGAGAGATAGATAGTTAGAAACATCGACGGGAGAGAAACATCGATCAGCTGCCTCCTGCACATCTCCCACTGGGGATGTGCCCGCAACCCAGGTACATGCCCTTGACCAGAATCGAACCTGGGACCTTTCAGTCCGCAGGCCGACGCTCTATCCACTGAGCCAAACCGGTTTCGGCAATTGTAATTTCTTTCATATTGCTCAGTCATTTATCCTTCTTCTACCTGCTTTGTTTCTATTTATTACATTTTATTTTGCTATAATCTCCTCTCCTGTTTTTTGTGGTTTAAGACTAGTTTTATTCCTTTATTGTCATTTTAAGTGAAGTTTTTGGAGAGAGATGATACACATGTGACCAATCTACCATTTTTAACTGGAAGTCTGTTAGCTTTGGGGTATATATATATCCATATTTTTTCCCTCCATTTTTCTTTCAAACTTTTAAATATTGTATCTATTAACTATCACCACAAAAATGTTATTCAACAAGCCACTTCAAATCTCAGTTGCTTAAAACAACAATAAGCAGTAGCTTCTATATCTGTAAGTCCACATGGGTCAGCTAATCTGGGTTGGACGTGGCTAGGCAGTTTATTGGTTTAATCAGGGCTCATTCCTGCATCAGTAGTTAACTATAGTTGGTTAAACTAGACTAAACTCTTCTCCACATGTCTGTCATCTTCCAGGGGACTAATTTAGGTATGTTCTTTTTTTAAAAAAAATTTCTTTATTGTTGAAAGTAGGTATGTTCTTGTCATAGTGATAGCAGAGGCACAACTGTGAGCAAGCCCAGTCAGGCATGCATTTTTTACGTTTCTGGTTGCATCATGTGCTAACATCACAGCAATCAAAACATGACACATGGCTGAGCCCAGGGGTGGAGACTTCCATCCTGCCCACATGGAAGGGCACTGCAAAGTTACATGGTAAACAGCCTGGACATAGAGCGGGGTATAGAATCTGAGCCAAAAATACAACCTACTACATATGTCAATAAACATCTAGCCTGTCAATTTTAATGGCTATATATTATTCCATTATATGGATGAATGTATAGAAATTCTTTTTTTTTAAATATATTTTTATTGATTTCAGAGAAGATGGGAGAGGGAGAGAGAGATAGAAATCTCAGTGATGAGAGAGAATCATTGATTGGCTGCCTCCCGCACACCCCCCACCAGGGATCAAGCCCACAACCCAGGCATATGCCCTTGACCGGAATCGAACCCACGACCCTTCAGTCCATAGGCCGATGCTCTATCCACTGAGCCAAGCCAGCCAGGACTATAGAAATTCTTTAACCAACTTCTATACTGATTAAATATTTAGCTCATTTTCCAGTTTTCAGATATTTAAATAATACTACAAAT